TGACGAGCATTGCTGTCCCAGGTTGCGGTGTCAGGTGCAGTCTCTTTTGTCGACGATGACACTGGCGCCTTAGAGGGTGGCACTGGAGGGGGGAGGTTTATGCGCGTGGGGTGAAGGGAAAAAATATGTAAGTATAGAACTGATAAGAAGGAGGGAAAATAGAAGAAGAGCCAGAGAGAAGACTGGTAAAAGGCAAGGCTTGTTCTTTTGTAGATGTCGGGTTGAGATATTATCTCGGCCTAGTCTGCCTAAATTGTTTAAAGGATGCATTAGAAGCTTTAATGAGGATGGCAGGATGGTGTCTGGAAGGGTTAAGATCATGGTCCTTCAGCTGTGGGGCGCTAGTTTGAATCCGCTTTTTTTGTCCTTTTGAGAGAGAATATAATGTCAGTGACACAAAGGGTTGGGAGGACTGGGTATCTAGGTTTTTTATTAGCTTTCATATTTCCCTTTGCTCTGTGCTCCGTCCAGCTGAACTGCAAGATTAACCTCTTCCTCTGGCCTCACTTTGAAATTATTGGAAAGCCTTACAATTGGAGAGGGGTCAGGGTAAGGAAGCTATTGTTTAATAAATGACCTGTAAGCAGAGGTAAAGGGAAGTTTCGGGTCTTTGATTGGGAGTCAGACTTGGCCACAGTTCAGCTGTGTGTGGCTCAGAGGCCATTTTAATTCAGTCTAACAATGTCCTTCCTGAGTTGGGATGGGTTAAGATGCTGAATATTTTTCTCTGAAGCTGAAAATCCAGGAGGATGCACACTGAACAAAAGTAGCTTTTTTTTTAAAAACTTCTCAACATTTCAAAGTCATGTCATTTTGCATGGTTCACATCTTGCGCTAGCTGTCCAGCACCTTTCATTTGCTCAGTGGAGTAACTCTGAATCCCGAAGTGCGGCAATATGCAGATGTTGGGGAGATGGGAGTACCTGCAGACTTTTGAGATGGGAGCCAAAGCTTGTGAGTGGATTGTCCAGATCTTGGCCTCCTATGATTTCGGTAGAACTGCGTCATAGAAAACGGGGCTGAAGGAGACCTTCAGAGGTCCTCTAGTTCAGGAGTAGCCAACCTGTGCCCTGTGTGTCACAAGTGGCACAGGTAGCCAGTGTGTAGCATGTGGCAGACCAGGGCCAGAAAAGGCAGCATGCTGGCAGATAGGGCAGGGAGCAGAAAGCAGAGCAGCAGACAGGACAGGGAGCATCCTAGTGCTAGCATGCAAATATGACGCTCTTGACTTCATTGGCTTTATGAATGCAACCGATCAGGCAGGGGAAGGGGATTGAAGTGGCACTCGGGGTGGGGGATAAAACTAATTTGTGACATGGTTGCCACTGATGTAGTCCATTCCCTCAAGCCATGGTCACCTCACTCTAGCTACTAGGTGTATGCTCTCCCTTGGTATCAGTTCCCCTAATGAGATGGCTATATCAAAACAGTAGCTGTTCTCTGGACTTCAGCCTAGTCATAGTGACTGCATGAGTGATGCTAAAGCCTTGATAGGCTTAGCTGTCCATGGCTCGCAGATCTTGGAGCACTTTATAAAAAGCAGATGTACAGAAATGGAAATTGAGGCAGTGCGAGCTATAGGGACTGGTTGCAGAACAAGTCAAGGAAGAAACGGAGCAGAGCTTCTGTGAAAAGATCTCGGGAGTCCTCTCGTGCCTTTTTCACTGGGCCACAATCCCTTCCTCCTTACAGAGCCTCCCCTTTCAGTTTTCCTGGGCATCCCATTTCCTTTTGTTCCAAGGTGACCCAGCAGAGAGTTCATCTGAATGGCTGATGGCAACAGATGCCTACATTTTGATGAGACCGACCACTTCATGGGCTGGTGCAACCTGCCAGCTGGCTCTTCCTTAAAAAAAAAAAAAAAAAAAAAAAAAAAAAAAAAAAAAAAAAAAAAAAATGCTTTGG